TTTTTTTTTTTGAGCAGTGTACATACGTGCGTACAGATATCACGAAAAAAACCAATTTTAATCCATATTACCATCCGCTTTCAAATAAAGAGTTCTTTTTTCCTCTCCGTATGACAGACGTTATGGGGAAAAAAAAATTCAAAACGGGATAGGAGAAAGGTGAAAATGGATATTTCCGTTGAAATCTTAAATCAAAATATTTTGCGATTACAATACCTCCTGTACTTCATACAAGGAAGCAGAAAATACAAAAGGATTTTAATGAGTACAGCTAATAATAAATAAAAAATAAATTTGCTTTTATTTATTTTAAATCGCTTAGTTCGTTAATAACAGAATAAATTTAAAAAAAGAGAAATTGAATACTACGCTTTACTGAAAAGCATCACACTGCTGCGTGAAAGATAAATATAGTTTATTTCAAGTGGTGGCAACACTTTGCTTTCAAATAACCGAGTTTGTTGATTAAAACTGAAAGATAACTATCTTACATTTTACAGATTGGCAACAGTTTGTTGAGTTGGAGATAAATATTTATTTCAAACGGTATTGATACCGCTCACTTTTAAATCGCTGAGTTTTTTGATAAAAATTCATAAATTCGTACAGAAGTCAAATAATTCAAAATCAAAACTCAGAATTCAAAATTCGGGCTTCAAACCACCTAAACCGAGGTGAAGACTACGTGTGAGCAATATTTGTGACTCTAGGTGCCGTCGTCCCACAAGGCGAGAACGTGCCGAGATACATATATACATGTATACATAACATACGTACAGATAAATAATCTTACATTTTACAGATTGGCAACAGTTTGTTGAGTTGGAGATAAATATTTATTTCAAACGGTATTGATACCGCTCACTTTTAAATCGCTGAGTTTTTTGATAAAAAATTCATTAAATTCGTACAGAATGTCAAATAATTCAAAATCAAACTCAGAATTCAAAATTCGGGCTTCGAACCACCTAGAACCGAGGTGAAGGACTATGTGTGAGCAATATTTGGTGACTCTAGGTGCCGTCGTTTTCCCACAAGGCGAGAACGTGCCGTAGATACATATATACATGTATACATAACATACGTACAGATACTTCATTATTTAAAAACAGAGATAAAAATTTAGCATTAACTCGGTTCCTACACTGATGTGATATAATTTCGATTTGCCTTTTGTTAAACTAGCTGCTTGCACGGTCAGGTGCATAAAATGTGTATTATAAGAAAAGAAAAATATAGGTAATGAGTGTAATGAACCCAACTATTCTTTGTTCAATAATTTCAATAATAAGGGGAAAATATTGCGTTTTTGATGACACTAATATTATCAATCGTTTCAGTCTAATGATTTTAGATTATGGATGCAATAAGTTGTACTGAATACCAAATATTACAGTACAGTCACTTATATATTTTAGTTATGCACTGAAAAGACTGGAATGAAGGAAAACGTTTTAAATCATTTCAACTTTTACTCGTAATGCTTAAAAGCACCTTATCGCTTAACAGTTAATTAAAAACGGGGAATGAAAAATTAACAGCTTTTTCTTTTTGTACTGATCTTCTTAACTGCATTTATATTATTTTTCTTATGTTGTTCTATTTTTTAGAATATACTGGAAGTTAGCTTAAATATCGATTGTATCGTTCTTTTCTTTTGTTTCTGTTCAGCAATTCGATAATAAGGAACATAAATAGCATTCTGAAGCAAACAGCATTCATAATATTTCCGTAGCAAAATCACTTTTTTCTCTCTCTACTTAAGCAACGAAACCTGTAGAATTTTTCTCAAAAAACATCGAAAAAAAATCAAGAAAGGGGCTTAATGATAATGTTTTAAGGTATAGAAAGATTGGGCGGGCTAAATTTAATGAATGCTATAGAATTTTGCTACGAATTATTACACATTTCCAAGTAGCCACCTCGAAGAAAGACTTGCTTTTCAGATTAACTGCCTTTTAAAAATTAATAAGAAGAAAATGGATTCTGTATGTACCGTATGACATTAGAAGAATATTTGATAAATTAAGAGGGGAACTATACAAATTATTAATCAGATATATCGTAATTTAAATGCATTTTTATTTAAATCAGCGAGATCAAATAGTAAAAGAAATAGCATTAAAGACTGCGTTTTATGGTTTTTTATGATTACTTAGTTTGTTAATCAATGGCAGACAGAATAAATTTAAAAGAAAAATAAAATATCTTATGCTTTGCCGAATGGCATTATCGCATGGAAGATAAAAGTATTTTATTTCCGGCCGTGGCAACGTATTGCTTTTAAATCAATAAACTTGTTTACCATATACTCATTAAAATCACATGAAATATAAAATACATAAAAAGAAAGAAAGAAAAGAATATCTGAAAGGATTTATATTTTTAATCTCTCAAAAAAGTATTTGTTAAGGGTTTTTTTATGCTCTTGATGATCGCATAGTTTATGCATCTGCTTTCGACTCACTTTTGTTAACGCAATTATTTTTCCTTTTTAACTTTATTATTAAATATCTTTCTTTCACACTTCATCCGCAGAAAATTCAACAGCAAATTCACGAAATTGTTTTAAACTGTATATCTTTAGAATTTCTGAAATGTATCAAGCGCTGCCGTATACTTTTTGGCCCAGAAAAGCTATTATCTTCGAACCTCACTTTTGCGTCTAATCGTTTTTTAATCTAATCGTTCACTTAAATACAACTAGTGTTGTTTCACAGTTCTAACTGGCCATTAATAAAAGGCATATTGCTTTTAAATCGCTTCATTTGTTTATCAGTAACAGGCTAAATACCTTACTTTCGCCAAATGGCAACACACTTAAGTATTTGAGTTAAAAATATAAACCCGAAGGGCTTGCCATTATATACATGGTCTAGTATTGGGAAAAACCTTTTAATTTTAAAATTTAAATATAGGACAATGCAAATACCATTTGTTTGCTGTATTAAAAAATGTGGTTAGCATTGATGAAATTTTTAATTATTAGCTAAAAATTATTTACAATTTAGTAGTACAGATTTAATTCTTTAAAATTTTACCTTAGTGGACGACTGTTAATTTCATTAATATTTTTCCTTTCAGCGAGAGTGTATCAGTGTCCACATCGGCCAGGCTGGAGTACAGATCGGCAATGCCTGCTGGGAATTGTACTGTCTGGAACATGGTATCCAGCCCGATGGCAACATGCCCAGTGACAAGGCAGTGGGAACCGGAGATGATTCCTTCAACACTTTCTTCAGCGAAACCGGAGCTGGCAAGCACGTACCGAGGGCCGTCTTCGTTGATCTCGAACCCACAGTAGTAGGTAAGGAAAAATAACACTCAACATTTATGTTCCATCTTTTAAAGATTTCCACCGTCAACCATTACTTCAATAGCTATTCGTCCATCGTCGTCAAATATGTATCATATTAATAATACTATTCTAAAAAGGCTTTTTATAGTAGATTTCGCACTTGTTTCATATTATTGAATTCCTGTTGCTAATTTTTGGCATTTAATTTATTTGCCATCTTCTTTGAGCAAAGAACAACATATTCAGATGAAAACATGTCACTATGTAAAATCACATTTGGTACATGTACCGTTTGTTTTTGCAGTCATTCATAATACATCTTCATACAAAATATTTCGCCTTAAATTTCCTATTCAGAAAGTTAGCAAAGCCGCATCAGAATCCACTAAATACGTCTGCTTCGTGACTTAAGAATTATGCCTTTTAGTGTTTTCTCCCCATGATACTTAATACAATATGTTGTAAGAAATCGCGTAAGCGTAGCACGTCTGGCTAGTAATCAGAAGGTCCAGTGTTAGAATTCCGGCGAGGGCATAGCAGCCTTTCGCACAATACTCGCTCGGGAAATTATAAATTTCTACAACTGGTGCCCAAATAAAATGTGGTGGACGATAATTCTTCACCACCTGGATTTGACGGCTGGATCTCATTCATCCCCAGTTGTCGTTTGAAAGTGGAAAAGAAAGTAAAGAATATTTGTGTTCTCTATAGCATGCCTTTATGTTGTAATTGATAGCGCATCCGACTGGCAGTCGGAATATCGCTATTTCGAATTTCGGTGAGGCGTATAGTTCCTTCCTCAAATGATTTGGTGGGAAAATTCTAAATCTTTTTATAATGTCACGCAGTTTAATATATATTAATTGCCTTTGGTATGAGCCGCTTTATCCATGTCACTATATTCTCAACAGTAAATGATTTATTTTCACATTTGATGAAGCCACTTTAGTAATAGACATCCATCTACAAATAAAAATTCTTCAATCAAAAATCGTTAAAAGCCATTATAAACTGGAGTATAGTTTCATGAGCTACCAAAAGCGTACAGCTCATGAAAAAATACACCAATTTTTAAATAGTTTTTTTACAAATTATTAATCTGAAATCAACATGGACTGACTGGAATTTATTTTTCTCCTTTATAATAGATGAGGTAAGGACTGGTGGGTACCGTCAGTTGTACCATCCCGAACAGCTCATCTCCGGCAAAGAAGATGCCGCCAACAATTATGCTCGAGGACACTACACAATCGGAAAGGAAATCGTGGATTTAGTGCTGGACAGAATCCGAAAACTTGCTGACCAATGCACGGGACTACAAGGTTTTCTCATCTTTCACAGTTTCGGTGGAGGAACTGGATCCGGCTTCACTTCTTTGTTGATGGAAAGGTTGTCTGTTGATTACGGAAAGAAATCCAAACTAGAATTCTCAATATACCCTGCTCCTCAGGTAAAATTAATAATAATAATTGTACTATAACTAATAATGCATTTTCACTTTGGAACAAGCCATCATTTCTAAATTTTGCAGTAATTTTGACGCAAGGTAATAGAAAATAATTTTATATTAATTTTAATACAAACCAATCGGAAAACGAAAATGTATCGAGTAGAACAATGTTTACTTGATTGATTACTGCAGAAAACTGTCTTAGCCGTTAATACAGAGGGTCTTTACACATTTTTGGTGAGAATGTTTTAGAATAAAACTTTCTGGCATCAACTTAGTATTTGAAATGAAAAATATTGTCTGTTACTTTTCACTCCTCTTTCAAAATGTCACACACAAATAAGCTGTGGATTAAGATACGTTTTTGCGCTTTCCGAAGATAATTATTACTATTCCATAATTCAAAAACGCTGTGAAATGTAAGTACAGTGCAGCCCGATGGTAACATGCCCAGTGTTTTCGGTAACCAGAAAGGAACAAACCATCAATCATTATATCTACATGGAAACCAAACGAATATGCGGAAAAGGTACGTACAGTTACAAATCGTCCACCCACACAGAAGTCAACTGCAAGTCTTTAAATACATCTGTAACAATAATAAACAAATCCATAAACCAAGTTTTATAACTTAAAAAAGTTTAAAAACGTAAGTTTCACCAGCTTTAGCCAAGGTTTGTGGCTCAACGCAGAATAATTAGTAGAGCCTTGTATGAAATCTATTTAGCAGCAGATAAATGGGAATGCACTCTGGCGCTCGATGAAGCACGGGTTTATCTAAATGATCTACATATTTATTATAGAAAACGAAGAGATAAAAATGTACAAACATAGTTCCATCGATGGAAAAAAAAAAGGTTTCAGTAAGGATCTTTGATTGTTGCAGGATGCTTTGACAATGAGAAATTAAAAATAAAAAGAGTACGAAAAACTGTTAAAATCAACTCGTAATATCAAGAGAAAGTTTTGCGTCCGATATTTCCAGAACAAATTCGATTCCTTTATCCCAATGACTTTCAAAAAGTGAAACTTCATCCAGATAAAACAATTAAATCATACTTCGAAAGTACCATTGCATTCCTTAAAAAAATGAAGACTGATAGAAGTATTGCATATATTCCTTTTTAACGTATTCCTGCAAATTTAAATTTTAAAGAAATTTAGGAAATTGTATGAGAAAATACAGACAAAAAAATCAAGATCTGTATTTTCATTATATCATGTGACTTGATGTTCTGATTTCTTTTCAATAATTTTAGGATTTCATTTGATGCCTATGTTGACTAATTGATAATGATTTACTTGTATTGTTAGGTATCTACAGCTGTTGTTGAGCCTTACAATTCCATCCTCACCACCCACACGACTCTAGAACATTCCGATTGCGCCTTCATGGTCGATAACGAAGCTATCTACGATATTTGCCGAAGAAATCTGGACATCGAGAGGCCCACATACACTAACCTCAACAGACTCATTAGTCAAATTGTATCATCCATTACTGCATCTCTTCGCTTCGACGGTGCCTTGAATGTCGATCTCACGGAGTTTCAGACTAACTTGGTGCCCTATCCTAGGTAACGTGAAAGAAATCTTTTGTGCAAGATTTAAAAGATCTATCACTCCGATTTCATTTTTCTTTAGTGCGATTTCTTTAGTGCGATATTGCAGCATAAGTTTATTAATAGTATCATAAATATATCTCAGTGTAATTGATTTGCTTTGGTATATTCTTAAAGTAGAACTTATCGATTAATTTGTCCTTTAAGAAGTAATTTGCATACGCATATATAACATGATTATGCTCTATTATCCACTCCGAATGCCTTGACTAATGCATCTGTGATAAGAACAAAGTGTTGTTGGATATATTAGATTCAAAATTTTAAAGAGATTGGTTTTTTACGCTATTCAAAAGCGCAGCGTCCGTGATAGCCTTTGAAGGACTTTATAGGTATAGTAAACTCTTGCCGAACCCCGGAGTTTCGGTCATTAACAATTGCCCGTTCGGTAAAATCTCGTTCCACAAAGTTTACTTTCCGCTCAATAAGTACGTGATATAATTACTTTTAGAAAGCTGGTAATTTTTGCTTGGAACGATGACCAAAACTTTAAAAGAGTCTCGGTAAGGCACATAGTTTTTCAGTGCTTCTGATAAATTGACTTTTGTTTTTTCCCATTTTGGTCACTGATCAATCTCCACTTAAAAAATCAGACAGTTGCTGTAACTTTTTCAGAATTCTTTTAAGTTTACGGCGTTTTGTCTTCTTCATTATCACCGCTTTCATTGTCGGTTGATGGTGTTTAAGATCATCGAATTGTCCATTCTCGATTAATTCCTTGATTTTTCCTTCTTCCATACCTAAAATTCCTTCGTTACCAACTGCTTTTGCAATTTGCACGATTTCTTTGGCTTCATTTTCAATCGATGGAAATCGTTTAAAATTGCTGCTAAGTTCCGATCAAACTTAGTGCCATCAAACATTTAATGTTGAATTGCATATGAATGAAATGAAGCTATTAAGATTCGCGTTTGAAATGTAGACTGCATATTTTAGTTTAATTTCAGTATAATAATAACAAAAACACATGATACTGAAAAAATCGCCAGAATGCGACACAAAGAAAACTCCTCGGAATTACAGAGTAGAGTCGATGGCTAGACTCGTAACTGTCATAAACTTTATTTGAGAAATCTGTTAATCTAATGAAAAGGATTTTTTTTGAGTGAATCTGTTAATCATATTAAAACGAGATGTCCCTTAAGGAAACTAATTATTAAAAATTTCTAGCTAAGCAATCCTCTAAAGAAATGCTCCTATAAAATTCTATAGAATCTTTTATAGAATGAATTAAATACTGTTCTTCAAATCATGCAAACATTTTATAAAGCGTTTACAGAAATTCTATAGAAATATGCAACGTTTTAAAAATTTAATCAAACCAAATTTTCAATTTCTGGGGTACCATATAGTACGTAGAAAAGCAAAAATAAACACGTTTTATTCATATAACGTTGCATCATTTTTTGTGGAAATTTTTACCTTTTTCTCTCTAGCTTTTTTAGCTTATGAATTTGTGTAACATTTTGTACAATATTTGTAAGGTATTGCTTATGTATCGATAATATGAAAATTAAATCTTGTGAAAACGTAAAATCGATTTAAATCATAAAATGTATTAAAACATTCAATTTATGCTGTTAATTATAAAATTTTAATTCCTGAAAGGAATGATTTAATAATTATATATTTAATCCTGATGACGGAAATGATTTCTTAGTTTTAGTTAAATTTATTTATCACTTAAAATGCATTTATTTCTATTAAATAAATTACAAGTCAAAACTATATTAAGATTTTTTTGTCAGAAAAAATTCATATCTAATTATTTTTTTCATCAGAGAAGAAACTTTCGCTAATTTTATTTTGCCTTCAAATGCTCAAAAACTGTTATAATACTATTATAGAAAATTTAAGCAAGGAAATGTGTTTAGAATTGTGTTATAGAAAATATTTATAGAAATTTTATTTTAAAGAATTCTATAATAAATCCAAACTGGATCTGAAATCTTCACCATTTTGTACGTGAGAGTTTAAAAAAAAACTTCGTACAATTTTTTTAATAGAATCTCCATAGAATATCTACATATATCTCTATAAAATCTGTCCATATAACTTTGGAGAAGCTATATCTAAAATTTAGTAGAATTCTATAAGATTTAGATTATTTTTATTTAGTTGCAAAAAAAAAAAAAAAAAAAAAAAATTGTGAGTACGAGGAATATATTTTTTTTCCTATAATTCTCTTGAGCAAGTCTTTCTAAGTATGCTTATGAGTTTATTTAATTTCTAGAATTCATTTTCCACTCGTAACCTACGCACCTGTGATATCCGCCGAAAAAGCCTACCACGAGCAGCTGAGCGTGGCTGAAATAACCAACGCTTGCTTCGAGCCTGCAAACCAGATGGTCAAATGTGATCCCAGGCACGGTAAATACATGGCCTGCTGTATGCTCTACAGAGGGGATGTAGTTCCCAAAGACGTGAACGCTGCCATTGCTGCCATCAAAACAAAGAGAACCATACAGTTCGTCGATTGGTGTCCAACCGGTTTTAAGGTAATTTAGAAGCAATTTTTAAGTATTAAATTATCGTAAAAGCATTCTAGACATACTTTCTATTTTTAGCTTTCGCACTTACATTTTTTATATATTTGAAGTATTAGATTGACGTTTTGCGAAACTTTTGTTTGAAAAACCTTAGGTAATGAATCAGCGCGGCAGTTAGCATAAAATGTTCGGCAACTAAATTGAGCATCATTTGCGAAGGTATTAGGATGCTTCAAAATGAAGACATAAAGGTGCCCGGCACATTTATATAGTCCAGGTTATACGATGAAGAATGCAGCCTTCGCCAACATTCCTTGACGTTCGTTTAAAGGTTTTTAAGCGCACAGTCGCCGATTCAAATAAAGGTGCTGACATCTTTTGTAAGATTGTTTATCAAGGCATAAAATGTGCCTGATACACTTAACAAAGTTCAGGTTTTACCATGAAGAATGCAACTTTCATCCGGGACGCCTATCTATGGGAAGATCTAAGTAAACTGTCATCGACTTTGATAATAAAGGTACCTGCGCCCATAACAGTTTGTTTATACCATGAAGAATGGTCAAAAACCTTCGTCAAAGTTCCTTTGAAGACCTAAACGTTCGTTTAGTTTCTAAACGGCTAAATAAAAGTGCCTGCACATTTTGCAAGTTAGGCATTGATCATCAAGCCATAAAGGCTGTTGACAAGTCTGTGACCGGCACCCTTATGAAATTCAATTACACCACGAAGAATACAACTTTCGTCAAGATGTCGGGACGTCCATGCGTTCATACGTCATTTTATTTCAATTAATAGTCACCGTCCCTGCAATGAATATGTTAACATTCTTTCAGTGCAAGATGCCAGATAACTCAAAAATGCAAGTTCCTGAAGAATGACTCAAACCAGCTATCATTCTAGCATTGTGAAAAGTCCTTATCTACTAGATCTTATTTGGAACGCGGTTGTAAGTGTTGTTGAGGATACACTAATTAAATTAATTATGCCAGATGAAGTTTAAATCGCAGATATTTTTATGCGTTAACGTTTAAGCTCAGCAATATTTTTCAAAACTCATCGTCAAATAAAAAACAATAAATTAAAGAACAAAGCTTTTATTCACTTGTCATTAATTTCATGTAATGCTTGAAAAGAAGACGGTATTATCTTTACTATTTCAAAAACAAATGTTTTCCACTGTCAATCGCATGAAAAGTTATCTTGATGTACTGGCATTTCATGTAGGATTTTTAAAATAAGGTTATAAGAAGCAGAATTTGCTTTCTTAGCGACCATACTCATTGAAAGAGAACCAAGAAGTGCTTGAAATAATTTATTTTCTTTTCCGCAGGTTGGCATCAACTACCAGCCTCCAACTGTGGTGCCTGGTGGTGACCTCGCCAAAGTGCCTCGAGCCGTTTGCATGTTGTCCAACACCACCGCCATCGCAGAAGCGTGGGCACGTCTTGACCACAAGTTCGATCTTATGTACGCCAAGAGAGCCTTCGTCCATTGGTACGTCGGAGAGGGTATGGAAGAAGGAGAATTCTCCGAAGCCCGGGAAGACATGGCAGCTCTGGAGAAAGACTACGAAGAAGTGGGACTGGATTCCAATGATGGAGGTGAAGACGAAGGAGACGAATATTGAGAACTTCGTCCGATCTCCTACCCCACACTCAGTGGCTCATGGTTTGAATAAAATGCACGACATTTAGACTTGTCTCTTTGTCATTTCTTAACAATTTCGGACACGTCATTTTTTAACAATTTCGGACACTTCATTATATTTATGATAAAATATGGAAACAATATAAAGTCCAAAGGACATATTCAAAAAGAATCGTGCTATTCTTAAGTATTATTATCCATATGCATTTAATTCAAAGTTCATAAAATAGATTTATCTTATTAATCCATACGTGTGGGGATGAAAACTACCACACTCGGAAAGAATACCAAACAAACAAGGAGACGCATTATCCTGTGCTTGTAATTATATATTAATGCACTTTTCAAGATCATTTCTCAGATGATTTAAACTTAAAAATATTTTAGGGTCATAGTACAGTATTTCTTCGTATACCTCTTCTCCCCCCCACCCCCAGCTTTAGTGCCAGGTTCGGAAAATTAAAAAAATACTCGCGTCATTTTTCGCTTCCTCAATACTTACAGAGGATGCGCTCCTCTAAATTTTAAAACGGATTCGTCCATGTACTGACTCTTTTCGTTTTTACAAAGACAAACCTTCGCGAACTACTTGTGAATATCACTCCGAACCTTTTGCTTTTGAACTTCATGCCAGTCTAATACAAGAATCCACCCATCACAGCAAAGCAAACACGAACCGACATTCAAGTTATGATTTCGCTGCACAGTCACCTACTCTAATTATTTGTGGATAATTTGAGGCCTAAGGAGTAGCAGAGATAACAAAAAAAAAACGGGCGAGATTCAAGTTAGAGGAAAGTAGAAATGAAGATATCTTATTAGGTACTGCAATGTTAACATTACTATTTATTTTTATCCGAATGTAGGTTTTTCTTTTAAAAACTAATGTTGTTTTAGTTACTTGTAGTTTATCCATGACTTCTCATTTCTTATATTCTTTTTGTAACCGCGTCCTTCAGAAATTAAACGATTCACATAATTTTCCCCTCCGATTTTCAGACAATAAAATTAGTAAAAAAAGGGGAGGAAATGCGGTATTTATGCTTAAATATATCTAATTCTGGATAATACAGATATTCCCAAAGAATCCTCTAAGTGAAAATCGCAGAAAAAGAGAAATAATGCCATCAGACTTGATCTATGTGTAGTACCTCACAGAAAATTACAAGTTCATTTTCAATTCAGTTATTAAAATAGATTCTTCTGACTCCTGTGAAACTTCTATTTCAGGGATTCTCAAAAGGTGGTACGCAAAGAAACAAAAGTTTTTTTTTTAACTGTTAAATTCAAAAATTAAATACCTCAACATTGTGTTTAAGTTTTTTCTCTAACACTTTTAATGTCATCTGAGCTTTGTTCACGGTCAATAGCCGCTCGTAGACTTTAGCAAAATAATCCGTTTTTATTTTCACAAATATTCTTTGAGCCATAGGTATAACAAAATTTGTCATAAATAATGTTTCTAAAAGGAGTAATAGAAATGGATGTTGTATTTTATAAGAAATAAGTTTCTATAAAATGATAATAGTATCTCATTAATTCTTTTAGAGTTAATCGATTTATTTAACATGTCTAAACTTTATGTCGCCACCATTTACAAGCTCATATTGCTCTGTTTTCAATTAGAATCATTTTTTACGGCGATTTGCTATCTCTAACAGCAGGTATTTTGTCTTCCTTTGCATTCTTTACTTTTCTAAGCGATTCGAGAACGTGGTCTGTTTTTGAAGAACTTGTAATATATTGTGCACTAAATATTTGTGAAAAAGTAATAAAATAAACGTAGATTTTTAAAATGGCTAGGACAGACCAAGCGTAAAAGTGATGGATCCAGGACAATCTACTAGCAATAAGATTATTGAAAAGAAAAGAAAATTGTTTATAAAAAATATGATGATAGTTATTTACCATTTAGGGTTATTTGAAATGGAGCCTCAAATTCAATGTGTTATTTGCGGTAAACTATTATCCAATCAAAGTGTGAAACCTTCGTGTCTTAAAAGACATCTTGAATCTAAGCATGCCGATTTATAGGATAAATCTGAAGAATATTTTAAGAGGAAATTATCGGAGTTCAAATATAGTAAGCAACTAACGAAAGGTTTTGTTGCTTCAAGCTTTGGGAGCCAGTTACCCAGTAAGCCTAAGAATTGCTGAAACTGGGCAGGCTCATACTATTGGAGAAAACCTTATATTACCAATAGCTGAAGATATCGCTTTAACATTATTCAGCGAAAAAGCGGCTAATGAACTTAATAATATTTCATTATCAAATAATATAGTAAGTCGACGAATTCATGAAATGGTAACTTCCATAAAGAAGACACTTATTCAAATAATAAAACACTAAGTATTTCGCATTGCAGTTGGAAGAAAGTAATGATCTAACGAACTTTGTTCAATTTTTCGTTTACATACGTTTCGAAGAAGATAAACAAATTGCCGAAGATTATTTATTTTTGATGAATCTCTTCATGATAGAGCAACTGTAAATGAAATGTTTAAAGTTATTGACAAGTTTATGTCTGAGAATGATTTCTTTGGAATAAGTGCATTGACATATGCAGTGATGGAGCTCTGGTTTTAACAAGACAACGTTTCGGTGTTATTTTTCAAATAAAGAAAATCCCACCTGAAACTAAATTTACTCACTGCTCCATTGCATCGTGAAGTTTTAGCAGCCAAAACAGCTCCCGAAAACCTGAAAATCGTTTTGAATCAATGCTGTAAAAACTGTTAATTTTATTAAAAACCGAGCTCTAAATTTAAGACTGTTTACGATTTTATGCCAAGAGATGGGCAGTGAACATGAAACGCTTTTGTTACATTCCGAAATAAGGTGGTTATCCAGAGGCAATGTTTTAAATCGTCTTTTTTAAATTTGATCAGAAATTCAAATTTCCCTCTGTGATTCAAAATTTGAATTGCAAAAAGGTTTATTTAGTTAATTATGGTTGGCGCCTTTAAGCATATTTAGGTAATATTTTTGGAAAGTTAAATTAATTAAATTTAGGATTACGAGGACATAGTGTTAATTTGTTTACCATTAGAGATAAAATAAATGAAATGGTAAAAAAACTAGAGCTAATAATCAAAGAACTGGATAATAATATTTTAAGCATTTTACCACTTTTAGAAAGTTTTCTAAGCGAAAATAATTTGGAAATAAAAGAAGAATTAGCATCTGACATTAAAAATCATTGTGTTTCATTGATAAATAATTTCAACATGTACTTTTCCGAGGATTATGAAAAAGAAAATTGGATTAGAAATCTATTTTGTTCAAATGTACCTAAAATTTTATCTTGTGAATGAAAAGAACAATTGATAGAAATTTCCTGCGCTCGAACTTCAACTGAAGATTTCAAAAATAACACACTTGTTAACTTTTGGCTGAACCGGGAAAAAAGTATTAAAAGGCATTTCAAATAAAGCTATTAAATTTTTATTGCCTTTTTGCACAACCTATTTGTGAGTATAAGGATTTTCTTCCATGTCATATTTGAAAAATAAATACATAACAAAATTAAAAGTGGACCCTAATTTACGGTTAAATTGAAATAAGACCAGACATAAATAAATTGATTTCTCTTAAACAGGCTCAAATTTCACACTAAATTATAGAATTAAAGTATCACAACTTAAATTTAGATAATTAAAATGCTAACCAGTTTTTAATGTAATATTTTTATGTATGCATATTTAATATAAATAGCCAACAGGTTGCGCAGGTGGGAAAATAATATTTTTTATTGAGAAATTGAAAAATAATTATTCTAAAATGTAGTGGTGGTACTAAAAGTTTTCCAATTTTTGTTTAGATGGTACGCGTTAGTCAAAAGGTTGAGAACCGCTGTCCATGTTTGTTTATAGGCAACTCATTTTAACATTTAACTTGAGATAAAAATTCTTTTAGTCAGTATCTTAATTAGTTTTTTTTAAAGTATTTTCTAAATCTCTACTGCTTTAAAAACATAAAAATCTATAACGAAAATCCTTAATCGAAAAAATAATCAAAAGTAAAATTTTTTATGCATTGAAAAAGTACCTATTGTCATTGGTCGCAGATATCGACTCATCAAAAGGATAAACCAATGTTTTTTGCATTTTTTTAATACTCATTGTTTTAATTGAATTTCTGTTCCTTGGAGAAGGTACTATATTAAACGTTTTCTAATTATACATTTTTATTTTATTATTTTGCAGCTATAGCGCAGGCCATAGGCCTTTTTAATTTACTGATTCTTTTTATTTAGAATATATATATGAATATGTACGTAATTTTCTGGTTTAAGGTTTTAATGCCTTTAGTTAATCTGCTTCCGATAGTTGTAGAATTATCAACATTTTAAAAGTTGTAGAATTATCAACATTTTAAAAGTGCGGCTAAGCTTAACTTTTGTTTACCATAGCAGCCATATTTGTTAATATTTGAAACTTAGCAGAATAGTGAATTCGATTTCTGCACCTTCAGTGTCTTTTTGCCGAACGGTACCAAAATTCAACTTTCATTTTTGTGCACCGAAAACATTTTCCCTGTTGCCTGCTGACCGAAGCGCTTGTTTTTTTTTGCGTAGAAACTCTAATTTTAATTGTAATTTCTTGTTTATTGTTTTAACTGTATTTGGTGTTCCCCCTTATATTTTTCAATTGTTACTAAAGATATATTGAGGTTTTATGTATTATTTCTTTGCCGCTAACTGAGAACAAAATGAATTGAATGAGAAATACATCTCTAATGAAATTACAGGAAATAAGTGTTTCGTATTAGCAGCAAATAATGTCGCCTGTCTGTCTCGGACAGAAAAGAATGTTTACGAGTAGTGCACATTAAGTAAGCTATGTTGAATCGTCTGTGACAAACTCTTTCTTTTTTATTTGTTTAATTTCTTTTATGCATCGGTTTAGATTTATTATAGTATTTGAATAAAACATGTGGCAACGATTACTTTTCAGATATATAATTTTTGTGCATTCTGAGTAATACAATGAATGAATGAATGAGATGTAACACTGTTAAGTGAACCTAGTGCTAGAGTCTCGCTG